ATAAGGTATGTACCAGTTTTTCTAGGATGGATTTGAGAACATAATTTTCTGACCTTATATATTCTGAATTTGTCATTGGACTCATCTACCTTGCCTCATTATGACAAAATACCGTCCTGACCAAAGAAAATATTTTGTTAAAATGTCTCTGAAAAGAGTTCAAGAATTTGACACAAAGCTTCTAATAGAGTGTATTACGTTATGTACATATAGAAAGTGATGATTTTCCTGGGGAAACATGTTTAAATAGTATCTTGTCAATTTGTTTTTCTGGATAGACAAAATCTTCCTCCTCAAAATTTGAGGAGGATGTATATTCAACTTTTTGTGAAACCTCAAAACTGTTATCCCAAGTGGTGAATCATCTTTCCTACACACTAGCAGTGTATAAGAATTCCAATTGCTCCACACCCTCACTGACAGCTTAGTATAGTAGCTACATGTATTCTAGTAGGTCTGTAGTGATGTCTTACCATGACTTCAATTTGCATTTACCTAATGACTAATGAGGTGAAGCATTTTTCCATGTGCTTATTTGCCATTTGTCTATCTTAGGTCTAGACATTCTAGCCTTTTTATTTCCAAAAGAAATGAAAGCATATATCCATATAAAGACCTGGATCCTTTTATGGACTGAATTTTGTCTCCTCGAGAGTCAGATGCTGAAGCCTGACTCCACCGCGACTGAGTTTGAGCAGTGTTTTTCAACCTTGATCTCACAGCACACTTGAACCTATAGATAAACGTTGGCGGCACACATAAATTATGTTGATCAAAAAAGAGTACAAAAAGGAATATAATTACTGTGCTTTGAACTTCTTTCAAAAATAATTTAATTAATGATCTTCAAACATTTTTGAGGCACCACTAAGATGCTCTCATGGCACACCAGTGTGAGGTGGCACACTGGTTGAAAATCACTGGTCTAGAGACAGGGTCTATAAGAAGGCAATTAAAAGAGATTGTAAAGGCTCGGCGCCTATAGCTCAACCGGCTAAGGCGCCAGCCACGTACACCTAAGGTGGCCGGTTCGAATCCCCAGCCTGGACCGCCAAACAACAATGACGGCTGCAACCAAAAAAATAGCCGGGCGTTGTGGCGGGCGCCTGTGGTCCCAGCTACTTGGGAGGCGGAGGCAGGAGACTCGCTTGAGCCCAGGAGTTAGAGGTTGCTGTGAGCTGTAATGCCATGGCCCTCTGCCCAGGGGGACAGCTTGAGGCTCTGTCTCAAAAAAAAAAAAAAAAAAAAAAAAAGAGATTGTAAGAGGGGTGTCCTGATACCATAGGATTAGCGGCCTTATAAGAATAGACCCAGCTTGGTCTCCCCTGCCCCCTTCCTTTCCTCCGTGTCTTTCTCTCTCTCTCCTTCTCCTCTTCCACACAAAGAGGTCATGTGAGCACCAGCAGCATGGAGGCTGCCTTTCTACTAGGAAGAGGCACAGAAACCCACCATGATGTTGGCTTTCCAGCTGCCAGAACTATGAGAAAATGTCTGTCGTTGAAGCCATCCAGTATTTTGTTATGGCAGCCTGAGCTAATGCAATTTGCATAGCAGCTTTATTTATATTTGTCAAAAAACTAGAAACTATAGGGAACCAGCACATTGTACCCTGTGATTGCACTAATGTACACAGCTATGATTTAATAATAAAAACTAGAAACCACTCAAATAAAGGGAAAAACAAATAATGGTATATACAGGCAAAGTAATACTGTTGGGCAGTAAAAACACATGAACTGCTTATATTCACAACAACGTGGATAAATCTCAGAATAATTGTGCTGAGTGAAACAAACCAGACCAAGACAAAAAGAAAAGAGTGCACTGTATGATTCCATTTATATAAACTCCAGAAAATGTAGATAACTGGTGGAGACAGAAAGCAGATCTGTGGTTGACTGGGAAGTGAAGTGTGGCGAGGAATGAGTGGGATGGAGGGCTTACAGGGTACAGGAGGAACTTTAGGGGGTGATGGGTGATGGTTTCACGGGCGTACACATACATATCAAAACTTACCAAATTGTCTACATTAAACATATGCAATTTATTGTATGTCAGTTACACTCAATAAAGTTGTTTTCAAAAACCCTATGGAATCCTATTATCTCCGGGAAGCTCTAATTTTGTGTTAAATAGTATGCAAGTTTTCTTTTCTCTAGACCCTTATAAAGAAATGGAAAAGACAGTGCCTCACTCAGAAAAGGCATCATGATTTTGCACCTTTCTTCGTGAGGAGCCTGGAACAGAGTCCCTGACTCACCCCACACCCCCAGCCTTCCCATTGGAGGTAAAAAGACAAAACCCCCCAAACCAAATCAAACAACCATAAAACAAGTAACAGCAAAACTGAGAAACAGATAGTTACACCGGGATGTTTTGGTTTTGCAAGCTCAGGTGGCCTGGCTGGATATTGTGGTAAAGAATGAAAATAAGTTATGACACCTTTTATTATTTATTTTATAAAATATGTTATGACACCTTTATTATTTATTTCAGAGTATTAAGGGGGCACAAATGTTTTAGGTTACAAGGGTCATTCTTGTAATGTTTGAGTCCTTGCTACAGGTATGTTCATCACCCAGGTAGTTTTCATATTACCTATAGGTTGGTTTATGCCCCTCCCCTTAATTTCCACTGAGCGTTAGTTCCCTCTGTGTAGATGCACACATGCTCTTCGGTTAGTTCCAACTTAATAGTGTGGTGTTTGTTTTTCCCATTCTTTAGACTTCATTTAGGAGAATAGTCTGCAGTTCCAGATTGTTGCAAAGGGCATTATTTTGCCTTTCTTTATGGCTGAGTATTCCATGGGGTGTGTGTGTGTGTGTGTGTGTGCGCATGTCACATTTTATTAACCCATGCATGAATTTATGTGCTGTTGGATTGATTCCACATCTTTGAGGTTGTGAATTGTGCTGTAATAAACATTCGAGTGCAGGTGTGTTATGATGCCTTTCACTCACATTTTATCATTGGTGTCAGGAATACTGTATATTACAGATAAAGCAAACCCTCCACAGGTAGAGAATGCTAAAATCTAGAATAACAAGGTGTCAGCTGGTAAGTCAGGCAAACCTCTGACGATAAAACCCAAAGTCAAACACAGAATTTGATTAAAAATTCAAAACCTGCTTGGATTTCACAGAAAGCTCAGAAGATAAAATAGGGTTTTATTCACAGGCAAGGTTTGTGCCAAACCTGCACTTTGGGGGTTGTGCCAATCCCACTGTTCAGATGGGGCCACAATAGCAGGAAAGGACGAGGCTCCTCACAGAAGGCCCTTTGTGGCAAATTACTATGGGAGGAAACTCTCAAAGTTGCAAATTGATCATTTCATTTCTAGGGTGCTGCGTAGAAAAAAAATTTTTTTTGGTTTTGTTTTAAGCTCTCAGGTGTAAAGCAAATTTTTTGAACTTTGGCTACGCAGCCAACAAGTGGTGGAGGAGGGAAATTAAAACTATGCCTGATGCCAAAGCTCTTGCTCTTTCTGGTACTCGGTAGAGGAGAGTTTTCTGGGAAGCCTCCCATCAACCCTGCCCTGCGACCTCCCTTGCATTTCCTCTACCGCTGCTCGCATCAACTCGCTGCGGGTGCCCAGCTGGAGAGCACAGATTGCACCTGCTCCGAAGCCCAGGGGGGCCCTGGCCTTGTCCGCAGCTCAGCCTCGGCTGCCCGTGCACGGACGCAAGGACCCACCAGGGGTCACTGCAGTCTCAGAGCTATTGTGCCCGCCAGTCCCGGACGCAGCCGGCCTCGCGGAGGGCGTGGGGCTGGGATCGCCGAATGCCGGGGTCGGAGCCGACCCGCCCCTGACCTCCCAGGGCCGGCCTCCGGGTCGCCCTGGGAAACCGCCACGGCGCGCCGCGGACTGCCCCTCTGCTCCGCGCAGAGTCGGCTCCCTCGCGCCGACCTGGCCGCACCTCGCCGCCCGGACCACGTCCGCTCCGCCCCGCGCCCGGCTGTACCCCACCGGGGGGCGCCCCCACTGCCGCCGGCCGCCCCCAGCTTCGCTCCAGGCTATTTTGAAGACGCCCAGCGGCACCTGGGCTGCTCCCGCCCGGGGCGCCACTCGTCGCGGTGCTGAGAGAACTTTCCACTTTCCTCGGAGCCGGCGCGGCCTGGCGCGCCCAGGGCACACCCCCGTCCGCCGCTCTCCCAGCCGGGGCGCCCGCTTCTGCGCCCGCAGGACCCCCGACCCCCGGCTTTTCCGAATGTTCTGCAGAATCAGCACTCAGCCGCCGACACAGGGCATTCCTGGAGGAAAGGCTTGAACTTGGTCAGACACGGTCTCCCGTGATGAGCTCGAGGGTCCCCAGACGGGAGCCGCGCCCCGGGACGAGCTGACTTTCCCTCGCTGGTCTCGGTAAGGAGCCCGTTGTCCTTTCCAACCCTCTTCCGGCTTCTCAGTGCCCGTGGGTTGAGAGTGGCGGCGGCGGACCGAGTGACGACCCTCGCTTCTGTCCCCACACCCCTGGCTGGGGCGTCGCAGATACCCCGGACACAAAAGAAAAGCCGAGCGCCCCGCACTCGGCGGGCCGCACCGGGGCCGCGGGGCGGGGTCGGAGCTGGGGTGCGCGCCCGCGGGGGACCCACGGCCCGAGGGGAGGCGGGCGCGTCGCGGCCGCGCTCGCATCGGAGCAGTCGGAGGGAGCTGCGGAGCTGCCGGGAGCCGCCAAGTCCGGGAAGGGCCTCGAGTTCTCGTCCCTCCCTCTTCTTGTTTCTTGCCCCCATTGCCAGGCGACTTCTGTCGTCCCCAGGATCGCGGGAGGGGCCGCGGCGCCCCCGCCTTCGGAGGAGCGGGAGCCGCAGGATGCGCGGGGACGCGCCGCCGCCCTCCGCGCCCAGTTCCGCCGGCGTCTCCCCCGCGGCTCCCGGGCGCTGACTCTCCCGGCGCTGACTCTCCCGGCGCGGGCTCTCTCCGGCTCGTCCGCGCTGCTCGCTCCGCGCCGCGCCGGGCGCCTCGGCCTCGGCTCGGACCCGCGGGCAGCTGTGGCTCCCGTCCTGCGCAGGACAATAAATTAATGCCTGGAGCTTGAGGGCCAGCGGCGGCTGGGCGCCCGGGTCGCGGCTTTCTCGCCTGGCCGGAGACTGCCACAGCCGACATGGGGTGTTTCTGCGCTGTTCCGGAAGAATTTTACTGCGAAGTTTTGCTCCTGGACGAATCCAAGTTAACCCTCACCACCCAGCAGCAGGGCATCAAGGTGGGTGCGGCCCGGAGCGCGGGCTGGGTGTCGGTAGCCGGGTGGGCTCGGGGGTCGGCCGCTTTGTCTGAGAGCTGTCACCGCGTCCCTGCGCGGGGGGAAGGAAAGGCAGCTGTCCCCCGTGCTCCGAGACCGGGCGGACGTGTTAGGCTGTGTTAACTTGGAGCTGCTTCATGATGGAAAGTGAGTTTGACATCTTAGAGGTTACCGGACGCACCAACTCCCCGTTGCAATCCGGGTCCTGCAACAGAGAGCAACACTCTTCCCCAAACCCGTCTCCTCCAAGAGCCCCTGGGCCCTTGCAGCCCCCAAGAGGCGCAGGATGGCTCGCACCGGCTGCACCCCACCGCGGCCTGGGACCGGCTCTCCCTCAGCGTCGTTGGGGGCTCATTTCTAGATAGCGTCGTTATGGACAAGTTCACTCCTTGAAACGCGTCAGGGAGTCATTGTGATTGTGTTGCCTGGGTTTATGGGTAATGCTCGTTTGGACAGAAAATATTTTCCTTGTCCTCAAGTGAACTGGGTTTATCCGCACTTTTCAGTAAACGTCTCTCAAAGCAACTCAGTAATAACTTTGTCATTAAAAAGCAATTACTACGTTAATCCAGAAAACCTAGACTAAAAGGCAGCGGAGCTTGCAGGATCCACTTCCTTAATTTTGATAAGTACGTACTTAATGTTTATAGTTGACAACCTGACCCGCGCCTGCGCGCTTGTTTTGCTTTTGCAACAATGTAACTACCTAGAGATCGGAATCCCGAGCATTTTGTTGTTTTGTTTCCCTTTCTCCTTCAGTTTCAAATCACTAAGGCGTTTTAGATAAGGCACCGGCTGAGTTTAGCGAAGGGAAACCGCCCCCTCTGTTAACAGAGCTGGGCGCCTGAGAGGTCCAGCGTTCAGGCTGCTCGATGCCCTCTCCTAAGCTTGTCATCTCTGCAGCCAACCCTAATGGGGTAGGCCCTGGGCATTTCCTTTGTGAATCAGTTTTTACATAGCTTGTGCGCACTAAAACTGTTCCTGGGCTAAAAGTTTCAGCGTTGACGTTACCCTTGGTGGTGTACAGAATTCTGATTTCTTCGGTGTAATTATTTTGCAGAAGGGGGCAGGAAACGACCAGTTAAAGCTACCAGATTAACCTTTTCCTTTAGGACATTGTTTTGAATATTGTTTCCCCAGGAATTAGCCAAACTCAATCAGAATTGATCAGAATCTTTAAAGATTAATAAAATAGAAACTGTTGGAGGAGGGTGTTGATTTTCTATTTTTAACTTTATGTTCTAAAATATCGCCCCCCCCACCTCCCCTGTGAAATCAGGAACTTAGTGGATAATATAATTTGGATGTGGTTCGTGAATAATATAGGCAAAAGAAATTTGGATGTGGTTCGTGAATAATATAGGCAAAAGAAACAAAACATCCTAAATTACGGATTTGTGCATCTTCCTAGTGTGAGGATAGAAACAATTAGGGAACAGTAACTAATGATCCAATGCTAAAACAACAAAGAAATCTTTTTGAAGTACAAAGTCTAAATTATCTGGAGTCTAAAGTCATCTGGAGTGTGAGTTTCCTATTTAATCATGAAAGCCTGTCTCTATCAGCTGTGGAGCGCGTACATTATTCTGTCAAGAGAGAAGCCAAGACTTGGGATCAAATGGAATAATTTTGTCCAAGAAAGATGAATTGAAAATCGTGATCCATAATTACTTTTTATAACCCAGTGGTGCTTATCTTGTTTTACAAATAGGTTGAAAATTGGTGAGTGATACAAAGGCAGCAGCAACCTTATAATACTGTTATTTTGGATGTAGGCTAGATAACCAAATGATAATTTAAGTAGGCTTTTGTTGGAAGTAATCATTTCACAACAGGCTTGGCCTTTTTTGGTGTCACAAAAGCATGCCACAATTATTTTGACGGCCATGTGTGTAACACAGGTGTTGTCTGAAGTTAACCACATTATATGCAACTACCATGCTATCCTAAAAGTGTGTGTTAAGCTCCTGTTGACTTGTGGTATGTACTCAGTTAAACATTTTGGTTTTTTTGAACTTTCCTAATATTACATGGGTATATAGTAACATTTGGTTACGTGATTTGCTTTTGTATATTTTAAGTCAAAGGTGTAAGTTTGCCTTTCACCCAGACCCTGTGGGTTGTATCTGCTGGGTATGAACTTGCCCATCCATTTCTTCCCCCGTCACCTATCTGAATTCTATATGTGCACACGAGTGTTGATCAACTAGTTCCAATTTAATATTGAGTACATGTGGTGTTTCTACTCAGGTTTGACACCTGAGTTAAACATGTATATATTTATAAAAGATATAAAACATAAAAAAGCATCTTGCATGCAGATGATACTCAGACATTGAACATATATATGTTATATGGTATGTATTTGACATTTTCGTTGACTTTTCCCTACTTTTCTTATATTATGGTGCTTAGGTACAGTTAATATATATTGCATTAATTTGATAAAATCAACTCCTATTGTAGTTTGTAAATGAAAAAGTGAACAATTATTTCAGAGTTAATAGCTACTATTGTGGTAATATCTCTGGGATAGGACATTTAATAATTTTGATTATTACTAAATAAAGCCAAAGTGAAGAAGGCAGCATCGATTTGCCCAACTTCCCCTGAAATTAAGCTAGAGAAGTCTCTACTTATAAATTTTTTCCTAAGTATTTTCTAATATTTATTTTATGATGACCGTTTTTCCTATTTTGAATGAGATGAAGCCAGCTAATTTTGTGTTAAAATTATTAACATATTTTATCCCTTATTAAAAGGAATTTTCCCTACATGGTTACTTAAGAATTTTTGCTTATATTACCGTTAAAATAATGTATTGTGAGTCAGAGAAAGATTAATTATAGTAAATTAAAGTAGAAGTATGAGTGAAGCTTGGTAAAACATTTTGTGTGTCATTTTGAAAAATACCCTAAGAACTACATTGTAAATTGAAGTTAATTATGAAGTGATTTTCTGCACCTTAGATCAAGGTGTTTTATTGATTTTAGGAAAGTATTGATACGCCACCATTTATAGCATTTCAACCTGAAGATAATAATTTACACATCTTATATATTAAGATGAGCATCATTTAAATGGAAAATAATTTTCTAAAAAAAATCAGGAAAGTAGGGCGGCGCCTGCGGCTCAAAGGAGTACGGCGCCAGCCATATATGCCAGAGGTGGCGGGTTCAAACCCAGCCCTGACCAAAAAAACCTGCAAAAAATAAAATAAAATAAAAGCCAGGGAAGTAAAACACGTATACCTTTGTATTTGCTTTTGGAGGTAACCTCACCTTGACAAACAGGAAGTCTTTTCCTTACATTTCACAGTCTGAGCCCTAATCAAGATTTAAGAACCCAGGTTTATATAAGCTGAGCCCCACAGTAGCTTTTAGCTATTTGTTCTCTGCTACTATCTCGGGTGTTTATTCAAGTAAGGATTTTGGCTGTGGTTGGTCTTAGTTTTCCAGTGATGTTTGTTCTGGGACACTTTTATCCTGTAGTTTTCTGTGCTGGGGGAGGTAGGGATCTTTCCTTTTGTTCTCTTAGAAAGCAAAATTTGAATGTGGGTCAGACTACTTTTGTAGGTGTTACTTGGTTAGCAAAAGATTTTCAGGAGAAAAAGCAAGGTTTGATTATAAATTTGGTCCTTAAAATGGCTACTGTAAATATGGATTACGTTGGCATTTTCATTTAAGCAAGATGTTAGTCCTTGCAATGGTAATGTGAGGTAGGCTGAGGTGCTCATTTTTCTCTACCTGTTCATTAACTATGAAACTGTTTTTCTACCTCTTCATTAACTAATGAAACCAATATGACAGTAAGATAAACTCCATTTTACCTTTTTAGAATGTTTTTTAAAAGATATAGCATTCTGTCCACCCAGTTTACTGTTAAATAATATCTCTTTATCACCCTGAGGCTCCTGTGGGAAGAATATTTTGAGTCAGTTTTGATACTTTGATCACTTTCTATTATAATTAAACTAGAAAAACAATTATAAATTGGGGGCCTAAAGTATATGTATCTCACTTACCAAACATTGTACTTTTCATTCCATTTGGACTGGTAAAGAAAACGTCTTAGGAGAGTGGGAAAAAGCACAAAGCAAATTTTATTAAGTATATGGGTGAATACCTATGCTTTTTGGTACAAGTTGCATAAGATACAAAGTTAAGGACTTTATAAACATAAGTTGAAGCAAGTAAGCCTACTTTGCATAACAGCATTTCTGTTATTAGGAGATTGGCTATGGGTCTTGGTCAGTTAGTAAATTTGATGTTACTGGAATAGAAAGTGACCCTCCTCCACTCCACATCCAGGTTTCCAAAATTCAAATGTGATATCCACATTGTGGCTACATGGGCTGAACTAGTATATGAATTAGTGTGTAATTGGCATATAAATACCTCTTTAATTTTACAAGACTTTTTTTTCTTGAAAAAAATTAGTAAGTGTACCTTTTATTATCAATGATTGGAATATGATTTTAAAACCCCTTAAGGGAAAGCATTGTGTGTTACCTCCAGCAGCCTTGCAGCTGGCCTTCTGTAGGTGCTTAACACCATTACTCAGGGGTCTTCAAACTTTTTAAACAGGGGGCCAGTTCACTGTCCCTCAGACCGTTGGAGGGCCAGACTGTGGGCCCTGGGATGAGTTGGCTGCTAAGCAGGACAGGCAGCGGTGGCAAAAACACCCGGCCGGCTGGATAAATGTCCTATGCGGGCCTCATGTGGTCTGCGGGCCGTAGTTTGAGGACGCCTGCTATTACTGGTTGAGGGTGAGCTTTGGTTTTTGTGGCCCAGTGACTAAGTTCTTGTGTCTCTAATGGTAAGCTTGAACCAAAGTTGACCTGGTGCTGTGCTTTTGTTGCTTCTGAGCTTGGGTGAAGATAAGGCTAAATCTGTCAGGACAGAAGTCCAGACTCTACTGTGATTAGTCGTGTGGACTGTAGTTTGCTATTTTTGATAAGACAC